TAAAAAACTCAGTACCATTGTCTGATCTTAACACCTTCACAGTTATACCAAACTGAATTTGAATCATTGCAACAAAAATTCCTTATTACAACTAATACTTCATTCTTTGACTGAATCAAACACACCCAAGTATACTTACTATAGTCATCAACACTAGTAACAAAGTAGTGCTTCCTATCATATGTAAGTATTCTGTGAGGTCCCCAAACATCTAAGTGAATCAGCTGAAAAATTTCAGTAGAACTAGTACTACTAATAGGAAACTTCAACCTACATTGCTTAGATAATGGACACACTTGATAATTCTCTTGTATGTGCTTATCAACTTTATTCTGCAACCTTGGAATATGCTGCATTGACTTCATTGAAGCATGTCCTAACCTTAAGTGCCAAAGCTCCGTTTCTTTTCCTTTTCTCAGGAAAATTCCTTCTGCTACTACTGTTATATTCTTCTTAAGCAAGTACAAACTATTGTTCTCTCAACCAATCCCTATCACCATGCCATTGTAAAGATCCTGAAACATACAAAAATCAGGGAAGAATGTGACTGAGCAACAGAGATCCTTTGTGAGCTTTGATACTGACAGCAGGTTAAATTTAAAATCTGGCACATACAAGACATTTGTTACTGTCTTATTTCCTAATATGGAAGCCTCTCCTGTGTGAGTTATTTGTGCTTTACTTCCTATAGGAAGCTGCACTCCATATCTCCCTTGATCATCTGGCCTTTTAATATTGTTTAGAATATCCTTACAGTATGTAATATGATGTGTTGCTCCTATATCTATTACTCAATCATACATACCTGCATTGGATAATAGAGAGACTATATCTGCAAAGTTATTAGAGCTTTATGCAGTTGTTGTTTTTGACATCAACTTGACCAGTTGTTGGCACTGTTCTTCTGTGAAGAACTACCCTGCTCATTGTACCTGCACAATCATTGGTTTTCCTTCATCACTATTTGGACACACATTGTTAGCATAAGCCTTTCCTCCTCCAGGCTGACTCTTCTTTTTACTCTTAAAGTTAGCTGGATATCTAATTATTTTGAAGCAATTCTCCTTCAGATGCCCTTTATACCCACAATATTCACAAATGAGATCGGACCTTTTTGCTCTAAAATCCTGACCTCTCCCTGCAAACATGGTGAGTGGTTCCCTATGTGTATCAACAACACCTAAAGACCTTTGGCTTTCTTCTTGAGTGGCTATAGCATATGCTTCATTAACAGTCACAACAAGCCTTTTAGCTAATATATTACTCCTTATGTTGTCATAGCTTTCATTTAGCCTCGTAAGGAATTATAACAAACGTTGAGATCTTAGATGTTCAACTGAGGATCAAGATTCTTCACAGTCACATGAAGATAGTGGTACTAACACATCTATTTCATCCCACAAGTCCTTTATTTTAGAGAAATAGCTAGTAACAGAGTCAGTACCTTGCCTTAGAGTTGCGATGGCTGTCCAAAGGTGATAAATCCTTGTCAAGTCTGATCGATCAAACCTTTCCTGAAAATCATTCCACACTTTCCTTGCATTAGAGGCATAGATAATACTCGGCATCAATTCACTCGACACAGTGCTCCCAATCCATGACAATACGATCGCGTCATATTTTTCCTATTGCTCTGCTAATTATCCTATGTACATATTCTTCACATAAGTTTTGTCCACAAACCCTACTTTACTCGTTCCCCGGAGCGCCAACTCCATTGCCCTACTCCACAGAGCATAGTTTTCTGGCCCTGTGAGCTCGAGCGGTATTAGGACGAGTCCTGGACCATCTGAGGGCTGTAGAAACAACGGATGATTGTGATCTAGAGAAGCGACTTCGTTTCCTGCCATGGATGACTGGAACTCTGCTTCCTCGAAGCTCTTATCTCCTGAATTTCGATGAATTCACGATCGTTGCTCTAATACCATGATGAAATCAGCTGAATTCGCTCGACAATACACCATGCAATTGATTCAGAGTAAGGAATTTACAAAGAGAAGTGAGAGGAGATGAGGTGAGGTGAAGAAGATGAATGTCTGTAATTCTCATTGAAGTCACTAAAAATACATGTGAACGGGCATTTATAAGTGCCACATCTAACCACCTCTAACTAACTATCTTTTAAGGACAAAACTTTATAACTTTGACAAATAGGTCCCTCAACTTACTTTTGTGTGTAACTAGTCTATATTACAATAAACCCCGGGAATATGTCCCTTGCTTGGCATTGCGCATCACTCTCGTGCGCACGTATAGTCCAATGCTCAAGCTTGACACTTGTCTTGTGCCTAAGCACATGGCTTGTGCTTTGCCCGATTTGCATAAAACTTTAAGTGAATATTATCTTAATGATTTTATGACTATATAAAATCTAACTAATCGCAAATTTTCAAAGCAAGCAAATGATTGTTAAAAAAAAGAACTACCTGAGTTGAGATTTGGATCGGACTATTCATATTGAGACTTCCATTAAATGATAACAAAAGCATAGTCCATTTGTTCCCCCTCCTAACTGAAAAAGAAAATCAAAAAGAAAAAGAACCTCAATGAGATTTGTTTAATAGTTTTGACTTTTGATTTATAGCTAGTTCTACGAGTGGTGGACTGAAAAAATTATACTGTATGGATAGATTAATTTCTTTTTATTATGCATATATTTTATGTTAAATTCTCTTAATTTCTTTTTATGCTTACTTCTTTATATTTTAACACTCCTCGGTAAAAATCTAACTTTCTCCCTTTACCCATAATGGAGTGCAAATCTACAGGAACCAATAATAGTAGTAGTAACACATTTGAAAGAAGATAATCAAATGGGACCATGCTTTTTTTTTTTTTCCAAAATAGAAATAGCCATCGCAATTTACACATTTCAATATGATTGTCACTTTCTGAAATACTAGAAAATGATGATTTTCCTAACGTAACAAACTCTCATTTGTCTGATGTAAAAAGCCTTATTGCAGAAGCTGCTTTTATGTTACGAACGAGGGTTTTTGGGATCCTTTTAATTTTCAATTTCTAATTATACTAAGACAACTCATAGGTTGGAGTTTTCCTAAAAATCTCACTTTATTCTAATATTGTGATAGTTTACACCTATCTCCTTTTTTTACCTTTGTGTTTACCTCCCTCTTTTACCTTCTTAATTTTTACTATTTTAACTAGGAATATTCGAAGGGAGTCTTAGACCAACGGTTACACATTCAAGCCGTGGAAGCAGCCGTTAACCCTTATATTAGGGTATGCTATCTATATCGTATCCCTTGAGGTGTGATCCTTCCCCAAATCTTGCGTAAATGCATGATACCTTGTGTATCGGGCTGCCCATTAATTTCTCGGAATATATTTATACTCGTATATATCCATTTATGTAAAAAGGATGAGTCACCAACATTGAAATCAGCAGTTTTCATACTTCATATGTTGATCTACGTATTAATAATTTAAGTTATATACATTAAAAGTATAAATTTTCTTTTAAATATTAGTGTAATGTAAATGACTATATACAGCTGATTAATACTCTACTTTTCAAGTTTCATATCATGCTTACTAAGAAGAATATATATATTTATTATTGTAGATCAATCTAACCTGATAATGTAAAAATAATTATGCACTATCAGTATATAAAGCGTTATTGCATATTAATATCAATGCTAATACAAAAATGATTATCCACTGTCTCTCCTCTATTTGTTAAGCACTTAAAGCCAGCCTTTTCTAACTCAGCGTCAAGCATTCTGCATTCACATTAAGATTCACATTAAGATTTAAGTTATATATACAATCAATATTAATATTTTTCATGCTTATTAAAGTTTAACCGTTGATAATATGCTAATATTACTCTATAGTCAGGGTTGGAGTTAGCGTTCGATATACGAATTTGGCAAAATTCAATAAATTTGATCCAGATTTTGTATTTATATTAAAAATTCACTTAGAGTATATATACGTAGTTTATTCAGAAGCCAGTAATCTGTTTTTTTAGGATCTAGAACTCATAAACTCAAAATCTTTATTCCGCCCCAGCCGTTAGTACACAGAAATTAAATTCCTAGAAGTTTTTGTTTATTCACCTTAGAAAGTAATCATTTTAATTTTTATTTTCTTGTTTATTCATATAAGATTTACATATACAAGTCATTAATTGTATTCACACGGTCTGATACACGTCATTTTACTATACCTAGTAACTATAGGGTTAATTTAAAGTGCTAGGAATTTTAAAAATAGCCAAATTTATAATTGGTCGTTCAAAAATAGCCCAGTTTTAAAAGTAATCGAAATTTAGTCACTTTTCATGTAAAGATAAATCTGAGCAAAAAAACTGTTCAAAACTCGGAAAATACACCAGTATATTATACTGGAGTTCCAGCATAAGTATGCTTGAACTCCAGCATATTATACTGGAGTTCCAGGATAAGTATGTTGGAACTTCAGCATAATATGATGGGGTTCCAGCATAAGTACACTAGAACTCCAGCATAATATACTGGAGTTCCAGCAAGTATAATTGTCCAGTATAATATACTGGAGTTTGGAGCACCCGTGCTCCAGTCTCCAGTATATTATACTGGAGTCAGCAAAGTATACAGATCTAGCATAATATGCTGGAGTTCATACACAGGTGTACCGAACTCCAGTATATTATGCTGGACCGGTCTCTGTTGTAGCAAAATAATGGCTATTTTTCATTGACTTCGTAAACGCTGGCTATTTTTGAATGACCAGTCTGAAAACTGGCTATACCGTACTATTTTTAAAATATTCTTGATAATGATTGCACGATGCTAGCAGAATTATTAAAATAAGGAAATTCTTTTTAAAAAAGCCATACTTAATCTAATGGTACAATTAAAGAAAGAAAACAGTATGGTGAAAGAAAAAAAGAGGAGCTAAAGCACTATAATTGGACCCCATAAAATGTCCCCTCAATGCTCCCATTATTGATTTCAATTCTTCTCCACTTCGCTTCTTCTCCTCTCTCTCTTTCTCTCTCAATTTCTTTTTTTTTTTTTTTGAATCTCTAGAAAAAAAAAAGAAAAAAAATGTCACCTTAGTAGTATAAACTAGTATTAAGCTGTACCTTTCCGATCTGTATACAAGCAGTTGAGCGCGAAGTTTTCTGTGTAAAAAAGCTCGTTCTTGTCAATATAGGACTGTCATTCGTTTTGCTACCTTTCAAACTATGATGTCATCAAGTGAGAAAATAAGAGAAGTAGGAGAAGGATCATCATCAAGATCATCATCAGGTGGCGGTATTACTATAGCACCACCTGATCATCATCATCATCATCACCAGCCATCACCACTACCACCGCCACAACTGAGTCGATACGAGTCACAAAAACGTCGCGATTGGAACACTTTCGGACAATACTTGAAAAATCAAAAACCTCCGGTTCCACTATCAAACTGCAACTACAACCATGTGTTAGATTTTCTTCGATACCTCGACCAGTTTGGAAAAACTAAGGTTCACTTACATGGTTGTCTGTTTTTCGGACAACCCGACCCGCCCGGACCATGTACTTGTCCTCTTAGACAAGCATGGGGAAGTCTTGATGCTTTAATAGGAAGACTTAGAGCTGCTTATGAAGAAAATGGTGGTTTACCGGTGAGTAATCCATTTGCAAGTGGTGCAATAAGAGTTTATTTAAGAGAAATAAGAGATTCTCAAGCTAAAGCAAGAGGAATTCCTTATAAGAAAAAGAAGAAAAAGAAGATAAATATGCAAATTAAGACTAGTAAGACTGCTGTTGCTGTTGCTGGTGCTGCGACTTTTCAGTTACAATCTTCTTGATTGTTAAAAAAGGGTAAAATTTTAAGCTTTTAAAATAAGAGGATTTTTTTTTTTTTTTTTTTTTTTTTTTTGAAGTGGCTCATATTTTTCTTATACAATTTGAAGGTACTTCATGATATGAAGGTATGTAAAAAATAGTGCTATATAAATTACGTACTCTGAATTAAGGTATTTCTCTAAGATCATTATGTGGGTAAAATGTTCATTTAGTGAGTTTGTGGCTTTGTCAGTAAATTAAACCCTAAACTAGAGTTTTGAAACCCTAAAATTACGTAGATTCTTTTGAGTTTTGAGTGAAAATTTTGATTCTTACTCCAAGACTAACTATTGGGTAGTATCAATTTGTGTTTACAAGAACTCTCTCTCTCCCCTCTCTCTCTCTAGACATGCACATATAGTGCAATATTTTATATTTGTGGGCGGGGGCGGATCTAGTATTGTAGAGTTAGGTTCATTTGAATTCATAACTTTAGTTTAAACCTAGATTTATCAGTGTAAAACTCAAGGAAATTGCAGAAAATATTGAACTATAACCCCAAAACTCAAACAAGGTTATGATTAGTGGATGAAATTAACCCGAGTCCTAAACCCATAAAATTAAAATTTTGGGTATCTTTGTGAATGCTTTTGTAAAATCTTGTCTCATTTAGGAGATTAAAGGTTATATTAATGCAGTAGAATTCCTTATTATAAAATATAAGATTGATCCTGCATGTATTAGAAAGTTGTACGTGTCTTTTGCTATACGTATTTAACAACAGATATAACATAACAATTGATCCTTTTGGAGATCTTCAAAACAAGAAACAGTCACTTTTTGCTGCATTTTTGTGCAGAGGCCTGTCTTTCCATTTTTCTACACAAAACTAGCTATATAAATCCGACCTGGGATCAGAATTTCTTAGAATATATTCTTGAATTTATTCGAGATGTGAGTAAAACTCAAATTTGAGAAGAATATAATACGGACCCTTCAATGTCATTTTCGTTCATTTTTGTACATGTTCTATAATTGAACAAGAGTGGGTTGTTGCTCTAGTGGTGATCATCCTTCACTTCCAACCAAGAGATTCTGAGTTCGAGTCACCCCAAGAGAAAGGTGGGGAGTTCTTGGAGGGAAGGAGCCGAGGGTTTATCGAAAACAGTCTCTCTACCCCAGGGTAGGAGTAAGATCTGCGTACACACTACCCTCCCAGACCCCGCTAGTAGGATTATATTGGGTTGTTGTTCTATAATTGACAATGTTATTTCTTTTGTCTATTCTAGAAGAGTTTTATTTCTGTCAATACTTTGCTCTTAATGTTGGTCATATCCTCGGTACCTTTGGGTCCATTTTTTCATGCAGTAACGGATTCAGAATATAGACGATGTGTTCTAAGTGTAAGATATATGTTATGTTAACAATTTAAGGTTTCATATAAATTAACAATGGTTCATTCTTATTATATTCTTTGGATGCTTCCAATATATTCATATTCTCTGTTGGTATCTTCGATTTAGTTTTCTAATTATTTGTCTTGCTATTACTTGCTATCAAGTCTTCTTTCACCTTCTTTAGCTGAGGGTCTATCGGAAACAGTCTCTTTATCCTTCCAGGGTAGGAGTAAGGCTGCGTACATCCTACCCTACTCAGACTCGTGAGATTACACTGGGTGGTTATTGTTGGATGCTTCCAATGGATCATAGCATTTTGATTTAATGAATGAATTGGACCTGTTTCTTGCTCAGATCACTAAATTTTACACAGTTTTTACAGTATTATATGCAATACTCTAGATCCACTACTAGAAATACAGACTTTTCCTACGGAAGAATCGGTGGGAAATCCATATGAAATTTTAATATTCCCATGACATTCCCAGGGAAGACACTAAGTGGGAATATGGCGGGTGAGAAAATAGTTTCCCAGGACATTCCTAGATAATTCCCAGGGAGTTTTCCATTGAGGGTTTCACGAAAACTTGGTGGGGTCACATAGTGTATTTTCTCACGATTTCTTGCTCAAATCACTAAATTTTACACGGTTTTTACAGTATTATATGCAATACTCTCTGGTAGTGCAGCCTTTCTAATCTTAATCTGATTAGTTAAGTTCTATGCAATAACAGTATATAAGTTCTTCACACCATGAGGTAAATTTGGCGTACAACAAAAATCTTTCATAGTAACATAGAAAATAGAGTAATAACATGTTGATTATATAAATAATTACTATATTGTGTTATAGTGTCAATTTGTTTTTGTGTCCGTGATTATAATTTAAATCCATATTTCTTTTTGCACTCTCATTCATAATAGAATATTATTATGTCACGTCATTCATAATAGTTTTTTCTTCATACCTTTATGATATTTGATGGCTATAGACCTTTGATGTGATAAGGCATTAAATGCCAGCATTATTTTTAGTTAATTAGCTAGGCCCATCCTATAAAGATATTTTTTAATTAAGCAAATCTCGTATAGAGTAAGAATATGAATAGAAAACAATTATTCTCATTATATATGTATATACCTCTATATTCTTTTGTTTGTTAAATAAACGTTTTGGTTTATTTGACTGATTTGAAGGATCATTGACATAATAGCAGAGTCAAGATTTTTACTAAGGAATATGAATTGTAATAAAAAAAAATATTATCTCGCAAGCACGGATTGAACCTACAACCTTAAGGAATTTTTGCAACCTCTTAATTTTTGGCTAAACCTACGGCTTATATCAAGGAAAGTTAACATATTGTATATAAATATATTAATTAAGAAAAAATTTAATTTATTTTTCGGTGAAAAGGTGTGCCCTAAATGAGCACATCTTGGGGTCTTGCATACCATATTGTTTTTCAAATCATGGTCTAAGAACCTTTTCATTGATTTGAGGGAGGATACATAAGAACGTCCAATTTACATAAAATAATTAAATGAACTCCTGGCTAGGAAAAAAAGAACGTTTTATGCACAAAACATCTCGTATTTATGTATGGTCCAGGAAATTAAATGTCGTACCCAAAGGTATGATGTAGACATCCTACCCTAATACAGCATTAATAGTTGCTTTCACAGCTCGAACACTTGTCTTATAGGTCCCATGAAAACAACTTTACTATTGCTCCAAGGCCCCCTTCAAACTCCCTAGATAGTAATATACAAGGGCGTATGTAGTGTATAAAATGATGGGTTCAATTGAACTCAGAATTTCGACACAGAATAAAAATTTATATATAAAAATTTATTAAAATTATAAAAAATAAAATAGATATGAATCCATAACTTTAAAACTATAACGGGTTCAATGTTATAAACTATAAAAGATGAAGCCATAGAGTTTAAATTCTGGATCCGCCTCTGGTAATATATNTAAAACATTGCATTGTTCTTGCCTTATTGCTACGTATTTGAAACACTAAACTCAAATCTTCAACCACTTGAACAAGTTGTGTGTTAATTTTACTTTATAAACATAACAATACGAGCTTCTTTCAATAAATTAAAATCAAATAAATTTTTCTCTATAAATTGTCGTGTGATATATCCACAAAACTATGTCGAAGGGAAACTTTGGAGCAACGGTAAAGTTGTCTCCGTGTGACCTATAGGTTACGAGTGCGAGCCGTTGAAGCAGTCACTAATATTTGCATCAGGTTAGGCTCTCTACATATATCAACACCCCTAGGGATGCGACCCTTCCCCGAACCCTGCCTGAATGCAAAATACTTTGTGCACCGGGCTGCCCTTTAACTTCTGTTGTTTGTATACAAGGTTCTCTCAATGAGACTCGCAACCCCCCCTCCCC